CAACCCAGCCAGTGTAGACAGCTGGCAAGTTTTTCTGCAAAATCACATGATTTTGCAGAAAAACTTGCCAGTCTAGACACAGCCACGGGGTGGGAGGAGAAGGGGGCAATTTCCCTCACTCTTGTTTTACAGATGGAGAAACTGAGGCGTAGATAAAGGAACTGACTCCCTCTAGGCAGTGCAATGAGCCATTGGCAGAGCTGGCACTAGAACCCAGGAGTCCTGGCGCCACTGCATGTGGTTTGACAGCAGCCTTTCTCCGTGGGCTGTGGCATAAGCTGGACTTCAGCCCACAAGCTGCAGCCTTCCTAAGGCCCCACTGGCAAAGTCTCCAAGTGGCGTTTGTGCCTGGTCGTTCCAGTATGATCCTTTGTGCCTTTGGCATCTCACAGGCGGCTAAGGGCTGCTCTGGGGCAGAAGCTGAGGCCCTGCGAGGGGAAGGCAGCCGAGGCTGCGGGTGAGCAGTGGCAGCGAGTGTGGAAGAGTGTCTGGCAGGGACAATGCAGCAGATTTGAGCCCACACTCCCTCCCAGCCCCAGTAGCCCGCCAAGAGGAACAGCGACAGCACGGAGTGGAAGGGACCAGCGCTGCTGCCGGCAGCAGAGCTCAGAACCGTGGGCCCATGGAGGGTGCTGGGTGGCTTGGCCAGGCCGTTAGGTCAGCACCGTGACCCCGGGGGCCTGCAGCCCCTCCCACTCCCTGCTGTGGCTGGAGCCAATGTCAAGGCTCCGTCGTAACCCCAACAGCTGCCCCGTCACTGTGATAGGCCTGCCCAGCCCTTAGGCTGCTCCGAGCCCTCCTGGCACTAAACTAAACTGGCATTAAACTCGGGCACTAAAGCCGGGGGACATGGCCCTTCCAGCACCAGCTCCGGTTGATGGCAGGGGTGATGAATGCTGGCAGGCCAGGGATGGAGTTCTGGACTCCGCATCCATGAACAGAGCAAAAGCCAAAATGATTGAGGGTTGTGAGTTTGCAGCCTGGATAGCCCGGACCGTAGTGTCTACTCTGGCGCACTGACCCGGCCTTCCTGGAGCTGGTCGGCCCTCCCAGGGAAACTGCCCTGAGCTTGTGGATGGGCTCCTTGCAGAGCTTTGCCTGGCTGCTGAGGCCAGTGGGGAGCAGACGGGGGAAGGATAAACAGCGGGGCTGTGGTTGGGCGTTGGGTGGGGGGAGGGATGGGCAGAGAGGAAGGACACTGGGTGCAGGGAGTGTGGTGGGGATGTTTGGTGGGGGCTGAGCATGGGGAGGAGGTTTGGGGTGGGCAAAGCGGGAATAGAGGGGAAATGGGCCCTGAGGGCGGAGGACAGTGGGGGAGGGGAAGAGGGGTGATGGCTGGTGTATGGAAGTGGGAATGGGCGTGCTAAGGGTGGGTGGTGATGGGGGAGAGGGAAGATGGGGCTAGAGTTGGAAGGTGGGTGAGGCATGCCTTGGTTGGGCCTGTTCCAGGCTGGCAGGTAGGGGCTTGGAGAAAGTGGAAGGCATTTTGGGGTGGGGACGTGCATGTAAGGCTACAGGTGGGCTGGTATTTGCTGGCTATGTGGGTACCTGTCCTCAGAGAGCCCTAGGCAGGGCTGCGGGATGCTTCCCGCCAGGCACTCACAGGCAGCAGAGGTGTCCGTGCGGGCTGCACTTGGCTCTAGGCTGCGCCTGACAGACAGGCCCTTCTGAGACAGTGGTCCCGGCTGGAATGAGAGAAATGTACCCTTCCTCCCAGGCCCGCCTTGGCCCTCGAGGAGCAGGGCAGCTTTTATGTGCTTTCTTCTCTCTTTTAGAAGGAATGAACTGCATGAACAAGAACCACGGCTGTGCCCACATCTGCCGAGAGACCCCCAAGGGCGGCATCGCCTGTGAGTGCCGCCCGGGCTTCGAGCTCACCAAGAACCAGCGGGACTGCAAATGTAAGCACCCCGCGCCTGGCTGCTCCTGCCCCCACCTTTGCTTGTGGCTCCAGCCTGGGCTTGGAGCCTCGAGGCAGCTCCATGGCAACCACCATTCCTTTGTAAAGAGGTGTGGCTCTCCGGACTCCCAGGCCCCGCTCTAGGCCACACTCTCCACCTTCCCGAGGAAACGAACCCTTGGCCTCCAAACTTCCTGCACTGAGCACTACGCTCAGGAGTCCTGATTCCATGGCCGCTGCCTCTGAGCACCAGCCCACGCTGCTCTCCCGTGTCCCGGGCCGACCCAGATCCCTGACACCCAGTCACCCTGCTTTAGGCTGTAACTCTGAGCCCGGTAATGAACCCAAGAGTCCTGGCGCCTATCCCTCGCCCCTCTGCCCTAGCCCCTTAGACCACGTCACGTTCCACTGCCCCACGCTTTCCTGCCACTGTCTGGAAATGAAACCCAGGAGTCCTGACCCCTAATAAAAGCTTCATGACACCCAGTTTCCAAATGGGTCCATTTTCCAAGGTTTAAAGGCCATCTTTCCAGCCAGCCCCCTTACCTGCCCTTGCAGTATCTCTTGCAGATGTCTGTACTTGCCTGCCCAGCTTGCCAGTGGTTTGCATGTGCCATTGTGTTCATGGTCGCAGGCTGTGGCCGGCCCAGGCTGGAGCCACCCCACATCATGCTGAAATAATTAAAATGGGTCCCAAAGGCTCAACATCCCCCGTGGGATGTTTACAGAATCCCGTGGTTCCCACTTTACAGCACCTCGGAGCTTGTTCTCTTGCAGAGCCGATGGGCCAGAGTCACCGCTGGTGTAAGGCTGCAAGGGCTTACACCGAATCAGAGCCTGTTGTCTGATCAGCTTTAGTTTTAAAGTATTACCTCACCCTAGCACAGCGAGTGAGATGTCAGCAGAGAACCGCAAGAGTCATCTCCAGTGTTGTCAGCCCCTCTGATCTCAAGCCAGGGCTTCGTGGGGCTGCCAAGATTTTAATTTTTTTCAAAATCTTTTATTTCTTTGATTACTATTTTATTTGCTCTCAGCAGCAGCAAGGATGAAAGGGAGTTTGAACCCAGCAAGCAGGTTCTCCTCTGGGCTAAGTTAAAAGAGCAACTTGCCTCCTTAAAAACATCGGGTAGGATTTTCAAAGCACCAGAGTGGCATAAGAGTTTTGAAAATCCCATGCCTCCGCTTCATTAGTGAGTGAGCAGTACCATGCTGGGCCAAATCAGCTGCCTTTCTAGCCCGCTCTTTGACACTGGCAAGTAGTAGATAGATGACTATGGGAAAGGTGCAAGAAAGCACATGGTAGTGGCAGGGAACGACAGAGACTTAGACATGACTGATGATTTCTTTTAATGGTTAGGCATAGACTTTATTGGGTGATTAACGCTACTCGGTAGAATTACTTCTTAGCCTTAAAATGTCTGCAAACCTGGATTTTAAGTCCTTTCATAAATGTTAAGTTTAAACTAGGGATGTAATAGTGTAGTCAGTTAACCGATGAACTGATGAGCAAAAGCTTATCGGTTAATGCTATAGACTACACGCATTCTCCCCCTCTCCCTCTTGCCAGTACATTTTTTTAGCAGCCTGGCTCGGTTCTTGCTCATGCCAGGTCTGGGACTGCAGCTCTGAATTTAAAGTGTGTTAGGAGCCAGGCAGCTCGGCTCAGTTCCGGCTCGCACCAGAATTACATCAGAGGCAGCAGCGTGGAGTGACAGGCAGCCGATCCGCAAGGGGAGCTGGTTTTTAAACTGGCTTCTCTTGCAGACCATCTTCCACCTGGCATCCCATGCTGCTGCCTCTAATACAGAGCACCTAGCACCCTAGCACAGAGGTTACTCGACTGTTCAATTAACCGATATTTAACATCCCTAGTTTAAACCTTCCAAGATCTCCTGAGCAAGCTTGGAGATAAATCCCATTGTTCTGTGTGTTTGGGGCTGTTTATAGAGCCCAAAAAGGACCATTGTGCTCAGCTAGATCATTCCACCTGCTCCAAGCTAAGAACTAGTGTTTTCATTTCTGCTGCTTGGGTTTCCTGGGATTGGCACTTGGTTCCTCCAGCACCATAGGCAGGAAACCCACCGGTGGACCACAATGCCAGTTCTCTACTGGCTCTTTGAAATGTCTAAGATACTGTCCTCCAAGTAGTGATGAAAGGGACAGTGACTTTCAGTCACTGTCAATCTGAGCCAGGATTTTCAAAACTAACTACAATTTTGGGGGCCCAACTTTGAGCACTATAAGGGGCCCTCGTTTTCATGGGTAGGCGTACAGCACTTTCTGACTTTCGAGCCCTTTTAAAATGTCTCAAGTCAGGCACCCCGAATCTGAAAATCTTCACCCTACAGTGGATTTGAACTCTCAGCCTGGGGGATATGCTCTAGAGCGGATGGACTCTAGAATCACTCATGCCTCCCGCTTCCGCTTGGCTGGTTTTCTGTGTGGCACTCAGCCTCCCACCACTAGAACGCCTGTTCAGACGTGGCCTCACTGGGTGTTAACTGAAAGCTGCTATCATGGGATGGTGCATTGGCCTGTGTGAAAGGAGCTGGGAAGATGAGCCTCAGTCTAGTTCCCAATAGGGAAGTGTCCATGTGCAAAGCTTGCCTTGGTTGGGAAGAAAGGGCAGAGACTAGAATGCCTTTCTTACAGCCCTCACGATGATTGAAATTGCTTGAACTGCAGGTGCTGGGTCAGATGGCCCTGCTGAGGCTGGCTAGCTAAATGGATCATTTAGCCTGATTCCATGTGGCGGACGGGATGCTGGCATCAAGGGCCCATTTGGGGTGGTGATTCCATTACCTAGACAGCCTGCGTTCCCCTGCTCGTGTGCATTCCGAAACCACGTGTGTGTTTGGAAACTGCTCCTTGCTCTGCTTGCCGACGTCTCAACTGTGGGTTCTTTGCTCTCTGCAGTGACCTGCAACTATGGAAACGGAGGGTGCCAACACACATGTGACGACACAGACCAAGGGCCCAAGTGCGGCTGCCATGTGAAGTTTGTGCTGCATGCGGATGGGAAAACGTGCATAGGTAGGTGGGCGCGGTAGCAGAGATCACACCTGCCTGCATGGGGGCTCTGACTGGGCTGTGGATCTCTGTGCTCTTGCACTAGGACTACCAGCTTACAAGGCTGCTGCCCCAGACTAAACTAACGGTCATTGAATGCTCCCTCTCCTACCTAACTGTAACACTCCCTAGCCAGCGATCCAGAGCTGTATGGAGATGATCCACACTATTGTGTAAGGTTTATTCTCTGCTCTAGCTATAGTCAAACAGTTGGCTCTGCATCCCACTGACAGTACCAACTTTTCAGGCCTCCAAGACATGGTGGAGTTTTCTCCCCACAAGAAATCCATTTTCTTTTGGTATTCTAAAGAACAGCAGAGGTTTTCATAGTTCTATGTGTTAAGAAAGAAAGAGCTGGAACAGAATTGGATTTGGTATGTTTGAGGATATTTCGAAGTAATCTCGCAAGGAAAGGAGTCTTTTGTGCAGGCTTAATTAATTTATAGATCTCTCTATATTACGCTGCATGTGTTGTAATTGCAGACAGCTGTCTGGGGTACATGGGCATTCATTCACATGCTCTTGTGCATATAGTTATGTAGGTTGTTGCATGTGCACACCCAGTCCTGTTCTCACACTCATGCATGTTTGAGCAGACACCTGGAAGAGTTCTCTAGGAAAAGAATTTGAATGCCTTGAATGGGGAATCTGCAGCTTTGTTCTGGGCTAGCTGTTATCTTCCCTTGTGTTGTTATCCTCTAGGCTTTGGGGAAGGATGGTGAGGGGTTAAGATTTGGACGTGAGTCTGTTCCCAGTGGGAACTTGGCACTATGAGCTCTCAGCCCATCAACAGTTGTCTTGCAAAAACAAAAAAACAAAACCCAGCCACCCCCAAAATCGGCTTTTTTCTCTGTGTGTTTTCAAATTGTAAAACATCAAACAGAGATAGAAGTTTTACTCGTTTCAGATGCTCGCACAGCTTAACAGATGATTTGATTTAAAAAAACGTTACATTTGGGAAGTGATTAAATCCACAAATTGCTGTAAACATGTTAGCTCTTATTGCAAAATAAAAAAGGAATTAAAAACAACTGAGAGATTTAGCTCTTCAGGCCCCTGCTGTGCAGGCATAGAAAATGCCCTACACACACATCCACGAGGCAGCTTCATCCCACAAGTTAGCACTGCAAAAGTCCATCCTGTCCCTCTCCTTGCCCTGTTGGACTGTCCCCTGTTTCACATGAGGCATTACACATCCCGAGCAAGAGGACCCCCATCCCTGCCCCCGGGGGTAAGTTCTCGTCCTCACAGATCTCACTACAGGAAGACTTTCCTAATGTTCAGACCCCCACCCTCAGAGATCTCACTGCAGGAAGACTTTCCTAATGTTCAGACCCCACGTTTTTCCTTCCTTAATTTCATCACATGACATCTCATTCTACCCCCTTTCACTTCCCTGAATAATCTCACTCCTTCCTTATGAATAATCCTCACTCCTTCCGTATGTGCATCCTGTTCCCCGGTAGATTTCTCTGCTCATTTACTGCTATTATTCTTCCCCTCTGAACACTTGTGTTTGTCAATATCTTTTGAATACCAGGGTATTTATCCCTACTGTTCTTACACCAGAGGCTGCCATATGGATCTGTTCTAATGCCAAAGTTTGTTAACTTCAGAGAAAGCAGGATCAACCTCATGGGAGAGGATTTGCTTCAGGCTTTTCTGTGTGGCCATGTTGCAATGCAAATTGCCTGTCTAAATTACTGTTCACTATCCACCCTAGACGTCTCCCAGCCCTTCTGCTTCTCCAGTCTCTCCTTCCCTTTACAGAGCTATGTTTGGGAAGATAGTGCCCCTGCTGGTATTAGTACTTGCATTTCCTCTGACTTGACGTATGTTGTGTTTGCCATGTTTTCTGATCATGTTGCTAGTCACTTTGGCTACCTTGGAATCCCTCTCTTCTCCCTGGTGTTTTCCATTCCTCCCATAGATAATTATCTGTAAATGTAATAACCCTTGGTTTTGCATCATTAATGAAGAGTTTCAACTAGACCAGATTTATGCTGTCTGAGACAGGGACAGTCTTTTCATTCTGTGTTTGTACAGTGCCTGGCATTAGGGGGTCCTAGGCCAGGACGAGGGCTCATTGATGCTACTGCAATAGAAATGATGAATAATAATTAATAACATTAGCATCTGTGGTACCTCCCCTGGCTCTGATGCTCTTTATTGCTCTTTTTTCCATGGCCTTTCAGCCTCTTTTTGATCCTCCTACCTTCCACTTTCCAATCACCATGGTGTTACTCTAACCAAAAAAAGGTGCCTGGCCAGAGCTAATCCTTATGAACCATTGATGCTTATGCCTCCTGTTTTCATTAACCCCCCGAAGTGTAGTGATTTCTTCCCTCAAATGAACTGAACGAGGAGTAAAATGTAAGCAAAAGGGGCAGCCGTTGCCAGGTTTGCTGTCCGCGCCTTTCTTTGAAGAGCCGTACCCTAGTGGCATTTCTGCACTCTCATGACAAAGCCTGTTTTCTAGTGCCCATGGTATGATAAGTTGGATTGTCGATCGCCTTGAGGGAATCTCTCTCCTGTTGAAGTCAGTAGTTGTTTTTCTATGGACTTAATTGGGAAAGGGAAGAGGGGCCAGGTTTTTCAAGGTAATGAGGTACCTACAGTTGCTTAGGTGCATAATTATAATTGCCTTCAATAGCACTTAGTCACTTAACCTGCCTGCTGCTTTATAAGTCCCTATTTGCACCTTTCCATGCTTCACTGTCTTTGTAAATATGTTTGATTTTCCCAAATATTTCTGTGTATTTCCTTGAGGCTAGAACTGGGCACAAATCAGACAGGACAGGACTCCTCCCATCCTTTAGCATAACTATTCCTTCCATGGCTGGGAAGAACAGGACTCCTCCCATCCTCTGGCATAACTATTCCTTCCATGGCTGGGAAGTCTAGTGGTTAGAGTTCGACTCCTAGCTCTGCCACTGACTCACTCTGTAACCTTAGGAAAGTCTTATCAGTGGTAGGTGCCTCTGTTTATCCCCACCCCCATAAAACAGGGCTAATATCTACCTCCCAGGGCACTGGAGCCTAATTCCTTAATGTCTAGCTAGTGTTCTGAGGTCCTCACTGGAGGCTTCAGGATAACGTCTTGAGAAGGGAGATATTTCCAAAGTGTGGAGGGAATTAGGAGACAGAGCTTGCAGGGCCTGATTTTTAGAGTGTCTCAGTGTTCAGACATTCAAGTTGAGCCCCCAGATCACCAGTCACTTCTGGAAACCTTGGCCAAAAAACTCCTTTCGTATTTACCCAGCCCTTTAGAAAACATCGTCCTGTGTGAGTCAATACATGTGTGTTATCTTCCCACTAGCTCACCTCCCTGTATGAAATTTAATATAGCCAGGAAGTGTCTTAGTGGTAACACTGGCCACCCCATCCTGACTAGCTGCAGATGCCCCGCTCTGGACTTATATCAAGGGGTCTGTTTGCTGTATCCCCTTGGCTGCTCCTTCGTCCTGCAGTGGGAATTATGGACACAGCATCCCGTTCCCACTGGGGCAGCCTCCGGCGCTGATCCAGCCTTTGTGAGCCACATTCTGCCCCCGGCTGTGCTGATGGGTGTGAGCGGGGGCAGGATTTAGCCCGGCACTTTGGGTAGCATCAGAGTCCATGAACAGCGTCTGCCTGGAATGCCAGCAGTGCCGGCTTGTGCTGCCATCCATGACTACAGGCTGTCAATCACCTTCCTCACAGGGCTGCCCAGCTGGGCAGATTTACAGTCAGGCAGGAGACTTAGGTACCTGCCTGGAGATTTATAAGTGCTCTTTTTTGTGTTACCACTGGGTCTCAGCACACAGCTGCCCTTGCAGCTCCCCTGCCCCCGTCCTTCTCCATTTCCTCTGCAAGGCTTCAGCATTTCAAGGGGAATACATTTTCCAGTGCGGGGTGTGTAAACCTGCTCCCCAGGCCGGGGGCTTTGAAATTGAATGCGGTGAGTATGAAGGGCCCCTGGGAGCAGACTCCACATCCAGGTCCCCCTCAGCTCACACCAGCTGGCAGGAAGCACAATGGCTTCGGTTGAGTGACAGTTTCACTAGGGCCGCGGCCGGTGTTTTTCATTTTTCTGCTTTTTATTGCCGCTTTTAAAAATGCGGATAATTTATAACATGCCTGTGAGCGGAGCCGGGGCCAGCCCCACCCGGGCTCCGGGACGGGGGGAGGGGCGGCTGATGACCTGATGGATTTATGTTTATGCTCTGAAGCAGCCTTTTCAGCAAGCCCCAAACCTGCCACGCCCTGAGGATTAAAGTGCTCAGCAGCGCCTGGCTCGGGTCAGGCTCGCACACGGGAGGGCTCGCTCCTTGGTAAGACAGGTCAGAGAAAAGCACCAGGCCCCAGTACTCTGAGTGGCTCCGAATGCGGAGAGACCCCTGTGAGACACTGTCACTGTGGGAGACACCAGGCACCCTGCTCAAGGGTTCCCGTAAGGTGTGGTGTGAGGTCCCACCACACGCCAGCACCGCCCCGGGGCAATACAGCACCC